GACGCATCTGCTGCAGCTGCTGCTGCCGCTGCGACCGTTGCCTCGACTGCCCTTGGTGATGCTGCTGCTGCTGCTGCTGCTGCTGGTGCTGGTGCTGCTGCTGCCGCACGGGGATGAAGTCTCCTAGGCCACGGGGTCTGCCGCGAAGCTGCAGAGCTGCCCGATAACTAGAATGGTGGGGAGGGGGGCCAGCCAGCCAACGGTTGCTGCTGCTGCTGCTGCCGCTGCTGCTGCTGCTGCCTCTGTTGCCGTTGCTGTTGCCACTGCTGCTGCCATTGCCGCAACCACTGCCGCTGCCACTGCTGCTGCCACTGGTTCTGTTACCAGTGCTTCTGCTGCTGCTGCTGCTGCTGCTGCAGAAGCTGCAGCTGCAGATGTTGCCGCTGCTGCAGGTGGTGGCTTGGCCACAGCTACCTTTATGTGGGTTGCTGCTGCTGCTGCCAGCAGCAGCAGCAGCAGAAGCAGCACCGCTATTAAAGCTGCTGCAGGTAGATATAGAGGCAGAAGAAGGACCAGGATGGATAACTGTCTCCTCCTTATCGAAAGGACAACCACCTGCTGCAGCACAACACACAGCAGCAGTAGCAGCAGCAGCAGCAGCACAATATGCAACTGCAGCAGCAAATGCAAAAGCAGGAAGTGCAACAGCAGCAAGTGCAACATCAGTAGGTGCAGCAGCAGCAAGCAGCAGCAGCAAGCAGCAGCAGCAGGAAACAAAAAAAAAGACAAAAAAGGAGACAAAAAGGAGATAAAAGCAGACAATAAAAGGAGACAAAAAGGAGACAAACAAGGAGACAAAAAAGGAGACAAAAAAGGGGACAAAAAGAGACAAAAAGGAAACAAAAAGGAGACAAAAAAGGAGACAATACTGACAGATGCGTATTGGTGGTGTATTTAATAGATGGGGCATACGCCAAGGACTCCAATGCTGCTGCTGCTTCTGCTGCTGCTGCTGCAGTTGCTGCTGCTGCAGCAGGCGCCGCTGCTCCTCTAGAGCTGAGGTGTATGGGTAGTGTATTGGTTCTGGTGTTTCTGCTGCTTCTGCTGCTTCTGCTGTTTCTGGTGTTCCTCCTGTTGCTGCTGCTGCAGTTGCTGCTGCTGCAGGTGCTGCTGCTGCAGGTGCTGCTGCAGGTGGTGCTGCTGTTGCAGGTGGTGCTGCAGGTGGTGCTGCTGCTGCAGGTGCTGCTGCTGCACGTGCTGCTGCTACTGATGGTTCACCATCTTCTGCTGCTGATGACGATGCAGTTTCTGCTGAATCTACTGCTGCACGTTCTGCTGCTGCTGCTGCTGCTTCTATTCGTGCTGCTGCTGCTGCTGCTGCAATCTCTACTGAAGGGATATCAGCGTTTCCCCATCCTCTCCCGCGAGGCATTTTCTCTCAGCAAAGACCCCGAGGGTTTAGGGTTTAGGGTTTAGGGTTTAGGGTCTGAGATCTATTTCTGAGGGTTTAGGGTTTAGGGTTTAGGGTTCTGCCGATATTGTTGCCGCGAGCACCGAGGTGCTGCGTGCTGCTGTGCAGCAAGTGGAGAAGGGAAGAGGATTTGTTGCTGTTGTTATTGCTTATGTTGTAATATTATATTTTTAGGGTTTAGGGTTTAGGGTTTAGGGTTTATGGATCTAGGGACATGTATATATGTAACCTGCAAAGGGAGGAGGAAAAGGGAGGAGAGGGAGAGGACCTGATGAATAAATAAGGGGATAAAAAGATGTAATTAATGGATAATTAAATAAAAATAAAAGAAAAGAGGAAAAAAAAGGAAAAAAACCCTCAGGAAGCAGGGGAGAGGCGAGTAGGTGACCCTATAAGGAGAGGGAGGAGGAGGAAGAAAAGGGGAATAATTGGGGTGTATAGGCAGCTAATTATACCATATAAAATAAAGAAAACCTTCATATAACCTTTTTATACACAAATAAAAAACAAAAATCATGCTATTTATGTTATTCCTGTTTATCTTGCTGCTCCTGCTGCTGACGAAGCAGCAGCAGCAGCAGCAGCAGCAGCAGCAGCAGCAGCAAGAACAATATATAGCTCGATTGACCAGTGGTCTATGGTAATTATGTTGTATATGCAGACAGATCTACTTAATTATATTAATTAAATTAAATAAAATAATAAATATAAATAAATAAATAAATAAATATCCTTTTTATTCCTTAATTAAATAAATAATCTTTTCTCTCTTATTACCTGCCTATACACCGCAGAGAAGAACCTGTAGCTTTTCTTATTTATATTCCCTGTTGTATTTTTTCTTTTTTTTTCTTCATTTTTTCTTTTTATTTAAATAATTAATTAAAATTAATTTAATTTATTTATTTATTTATTTATTTTCTTTATTATTACCCCCTTAATCATCATAAAGAAGCAGCAGATATGCTACCTGATACTACCTCTACCTCTACCTGCTGCTTGCTGCTGCTGTAGTCGATGCAGCATAGGTACTCTTTTTACGCCATTTAATCGATTAAAATAACAATAAATGAATAAATAAAAAGGAAAATGTAAAACTATTTTAATTTGTATACAAAGTAAACAAAAAATTATTAATTTATAGCAAAGTTTTGCCTTTTTTATTTATTTGTGTATACACCGCGCATCGAGGCACGCACACACGCACGAGCACGACCGAAGGAAATAGGCAATAAATAAATACAAAAAAAAACAATTTTGTACAAAATTTTCTTCTTTTTTCTTCTTTTTTCTTTTTATTTTACTTTATTTTGCATTTATTCCCTTTATTTTGTCTTATTTTATTAAAATAATGTATAATTGCCTACGAATACAACTAGAAAGCACACCTCTGCCGTGATCTACCATGGGGTGTACCTGCAACCCCGATACAACCTTTGCCTATTTATTTATTTATTTATTTATTTATGTATTTATTTATTCATTTATTCACTTATTATTTTATTATTTATTATTTATTTATTATTATTATTAATTAAATATGCTGTTATAATATTCTTATAATTATTTATTTATGTTTTTATGGTGTATAATGACCATACAATTGTCTGCCTACAATAAAAAGACAAAATAATTCTTTTTTTATTTATTTAATTAAATAAGATTTCTTTCTTTTATTTATTTTTTATTTATTTAATTAAGGATATATTTCTTTTCTTCTTTTTAATTAAATAAATAAGGGTTTTTTGTCCATTTTGTATTTATTATTTCCTTCTTTTCTTCCTATATATCTGCGGTGTACATGCACCTTATACAAGAATTAAATTATTTAAATAAAAGAAAAAAAGAATTAGGGTTTAGGGTTTCTGAGGAAAGCGTTTGGTTGCGAAAAGCGGCGTCAAAACCCAAAATTAGGGTTTATTAGGGTATATTAAGGTTTACTAGGGTTTAGGGTTTAGGGTTTAGGGTTTATTAATATACAACATGACCTAAAGGTTTATTATTAGGGAAATGACAAAAAGCCTCAATATGATTCTTGCGGTGTATATGATGAACATGAGGAAGTAGCCAACCCTCAAACTCTAAATTTATTTCCCTGCAGCATAACAAACCCTAAACCCTAAACCCTAAACCCTAAACCCTAATTCGGACACACAGAGGGAGAGAGGGAGAGACAGACCCACAAACCCTCAGGGTTTACCTTCGGTCTTGTAGCGCGTAGTATCGACTCATCCGCACAAATTCTATGCGAGTCCTCCTTGCCCTATGAACAAACCCTAAACCCTAAACCCTAAACCCTATATTCTAAACCCTTTTAGGCCTCGAAAAGCGGCATGAAGCAAATCTCCCCCATGGCTGCCTAAATATACAGCCCCCTATCTGCTAGGGTTTAGGGTTTGAAGAGTTTAGGGTTGGTGTTTAGGGTTGGTGGTTTAGGTAGGGTTTAGGGTTTACTGCTGTTAAGACCGAGGGTTTAGGGTTTAGGGTTTAGGGTTTGGAGGGTTTACTTCATTTTATTCCATTGCCAATAAGCACAATTAGCAATACGAATGCCTAAACCCCTCACTATCTTCTCTTGAAGACGAACTGCGCAGCAAAGAAACCCTAAACCCTAAACCCTAAACCCTAAACCCTAAAACCCTAAACCCTAAAACCCTAAACCCTGAGGTGTAGAGGACTTCGCAAGACTAGAAGCATGGAACACTAAACCCTAAACCCTAAACCTTAGACCGTAAACCCTAGAGTTGGAAACAGAACCCTGTAGCTCCCACGCTCCCAAACCCTAAACCCTAAACCCTAAACCCTAAACCCTAAACCCTAACCTGTAGATATTTTTTTATTGGTACCAACATAAAAACGATCAAGAGAATCACAAGACCAACAAAGTTTACGATCTCTTTCTAATATATCAAAGCAAAGAATTCCTCTGTACTCACACACAAACCCTAAACCCTAAACCCTAAACCCTAAACCCTAAACCCTAGGGGGTATATAGAGATTAGATGATAACTCACCGCATTGGGTATATCTGATGGGCTATACGAAGCTTTGTTAAGATGGCGCTAAACTGCAATACACAAACCCTAAACCCTAAACCCTAAACCCTAAACCCTGTAAACAGTGGGGATTCCAACTCCTGGTTCTAGACACGAAAACATGAGAACCTACACCTTATTGCTAAACCCTAAACCCTAAACCCTAAACCCTTTTTCTTGCCTTTTGAACAAAGACTGTTGGTTTCCTAGGGTTTAGGGTTAACTCTATCTGCTGCAGCTGACGAAGAAAAGTCCGAGTTTTGCCTACAAGCATATCACAAACCCTAAACCCTAAACCCTAAACCCTAAAACCCAAACTCTAAACGCTAAAAACCAAATCCTAAACCCTAAACCCTAAACCCTACCATCGAGGATTTCGTAACTTGGTCGATCCAGGGTGCGTAGCGCCAGACGGCAAAGGAGGATTTGCCTGCACATTGCCAAACCCTAAACGCTAAACCCTAAACCCTAAACCCGAGTGTGCACGTCCTCAACCCTAGTTGTTGCTGAATGTTCAGTTACTCGTTAGGGTTTAGGGTTTAGGGTTTAGGGTTTCACTACCTGTGGAGTCGAGCATGGGATGGATGCTTCCAGAACTCCTCAGGCTGATCAGCAGCAAAAGGAGCAACCCTGCAGCAGCAGCAGCAGCAGCAACAGCAGCAGGTGCAGCGGCAGCAGCAGCAGCGCATGCAAACCCAAATTGCGCTTAACAAGAGACGTCAAAGTACGGCATCACCCTAAACCCTAAACCCTAAACCCTAAACCCTGCTCACCTCTCTATGCAAGACAGCAGCAGGGAGCCCCATTCTGTCTGCGCCTGCTGCTCCTGCTGCTGCTGGTGATGCAGCAGCAGCGCTGCTTCTGCTGCTGCACCCAGAGCAAGGGCTTCTTCGCGCTGCAGCAGAGCCGGCTGCTGCTGCTGCTGCTGCTGCTGCTGCTTCTGTTGCTGCTGGAGATGCTGCTTAATGTGCTGCTGCAGCTGCTGCAGCAAAGAGGCCTTGTGTATGTCCAGCTGAGCGAAGGCCAGCAGCAGACGAGCTGCAGCAGCAAACGGCAAAGCCTGCTGTTGCTTCTTCTGTTGCTGCTGCTGCTGCAGCACAGCTTCTGCTGCTGCTGCAACAGCAGCAGAAGGCATGCGCTGAGCAGCAAATGCCTCAGCAACAGCACAAATGTCCCACACGTCCCACATAGACGCTACTGCGCACAAACCCCAAACCCTAAACCCTAAACCCTAAACCCTAATCGGGGGTTTGCAGCAGGACCTAGCTGCAACACCACCACGAAACCATTAGGGTTTAAGGGAAGCTCGGATTGATAAAGAATGAGGGTTTAGGGTATAGAAACAAGGGTTTAGGGTTTAGGGTTTATAAATTAGGGTTTAGGGTTTAGGGTTTAGGGTTTGCCTGTTTGTAGATTTGCTTTATCCAAGTAGTCCGCCGCATCATCAAAGAAATCAAAATGAAGAAACCCCAAACGACGAACACTCTTACATAACCCTACACGTAAACCCTAAACCCTAAACCCTAAACCCTAAACCCTAAACCCTAAACCCTAAAATGTAAAGTATATACCCTAAACCCTTAACCCTACACCAGGATCCTGGATTCGTGCAGTGAAGCTCCGGACCTCTGAGACTCGCATACCCCACAATACCTGCTAGGGTTTAGGGTTTAGGGTTTAGGCTTACGTGGGAGGAACTGCAGCACCGTGTTAGGGTTTGCTGCTGCTGCTGCTGCTGCTGCTGCTGCTGTTGCACCTAAACTTAATATAGCTGATGATATACAATACTCCCTCATATTAGCAGCAACACAACCCTGAGCCACAAACCCTAAACCCTAAACCCTAAACCCTAAAGCTTACACCCTGAGAGATTCGTACCTTTAAAACTCAGGATTAGGGTTTAGGGTTTAGGGTTTAGGGTTTACTTCGAGAAGAAGGCAAATGTGTTCAAGGGTTAGGGGATCGTCATCATTACCCAACTCCAGCTGCTGCTGCTGCTGTTTCTGCTGCTGTTGCTGTTGTTGCTGCTGCAGCACGCAGCGTCTCCATATAGCACGGAGAGGAGAGAAGTCTGCTGCTGCTGCTTCTTCTTCTGTTGCTCCTGCTGCAGACCGCAGCAGCTGCAGCGGCACTGCAGCAGCAAACTGACGAGAAGCAGCAGCAACAGTATAAAGCCTGCTGCCTCCTCCTTTATCCCTTGCTGCTGCTGCTGCTGCTGTTTCTGTTGCTGCTGCCGTTGTTGTTGCTTCTGGAGCTTTTGCTGCTGCTGTTTCTGCTTTTGCTGCTGCTGCTGCTTCTCTTGCTGCTGCATGCAGAGCGCGCCTTTGAAGAGCAACTGCAGCACGCGGTGCAGCAGCAGCAGCATTAGCTGCTGCTGCTGCTGCTGCTGTTACTGTTGCAGAAGGAGCAGTGTAGTGAAAATGCCAGAGTCTGCAGTGGTAACATAGAGGGACTGCTGCTGCAGTTGCTGCTGCTGCTGCTGATGTTGCTGCTGCTGATGATGATGTTGCTGCTGCTGATGATGATGTTGCTGCTGCTGCTGCTCTGCAGTGTAGGACAGGTCCCGCGAGGCGGAGACGTCCGCACTGCAGTGTGTGTAGACTCAGCATGAGTTATTTCAATTGCTGCTGCTGCTGTTGTTGCTGCTGCTGCAGTTGCTGCTGCTGTTGCTGCAGCGGATGTTCTGGCGGGTCGACAAGCCCTTCTGCTGCTGCTGCTGCTGCTAATCAAGAAGCTGCGGCTGCTGTTGTCTTGTGATGCTGTGCATACACCTAAACGCTGTGACCAACAATTTCCTGTCTGCAGCAGCAGCAGCTAATGCAGCAACCTCATACAAGGCCGCAGCAGCAGCAGCAGCAGCAGCAGCAGCGGTTGCTGCTGCTGCTGTTGCTGCTGTTGTTGTTGTTAGTTAGACTTCCTTAAATAAGATAATCCGCTAAGAAGAAAAAGAAGAAGAAAAACAATAAAAGAAAATATTGTTGCTGCTGCTAAGACATTTATAGCAGCAGCAGCAACAGCAGCAGCAACAGGAGCAGCAACAGGAGCAGCTTCTGTTGCTGCTGCTGCTGCTGGTTGCATGCCGTTGCTAGATGAAGAAATTAAATGTTTTTATATTTAAATTTAAATATTTATTTGTTTTTTGTTTTGCTGCTGCTGCTGCTTTGCTGCTGCTGCTGCTGTGCTGCTGTCTGCACTTAATTAACTCTCGGGTGTATCGACAGCTCTAGATGCTGCAGCAGCATATGAATAAACCCTAAACCCTAAACCCTTGAAACCATATAAACCCTAAACCCTCGAAACCTTAAACCCTATAAACCCTAAACCCTCGTAAACCCTAGCATTTATCCTCTAAACCCTAATAGTGTGTTATAAACCCCCAAACCCTAATTTTTTTTGCTATTGCCTATTTTACTGGCTTCTTGAGCTGAATTAGGGTTTAGGGTTTAGGGTTTAGGGTTTATAAGATGACGGAGACAACAAGTATAATGAATAAGGAGGTACTTAATCGTATATTAAGGGAGAAACCTAATACTTATTATAGGACCCCTTCTCTTAATAATGTGCTGTATATACACCGCAGAGGGTTTACTAATTTAGGGGGGTTAGATGAATTTACTGGATTAAAGGCCCTTTATGCTGATGGTAATGGTATGCATTAACCCTAAACCCTAAACCCTAAACCCTAAACCCTAAAAAAACCTTACACCGTAAATGCAGCGAGAAAAAAAAAAAAAAAAAAAAAAAAAAAAAAAAAAAAAAAAA